GCCTCGGCGATAAGGAGAAGCTCATTCCCGGCGGCAGTTACGCGCCGCTCGGAGAGCATAGCACCTACGCTCCTCTCGAACATAACCCGAGCCAGGGCTACAACGGGGGCTACAACGCCTACGGTTTCGGTGGACCTCAACGCGGTGGTGCTCGTTCAGATCTGGCTTACGAGCCATACTCCCATTCCCATGTTTAGAGGGAAATGTCCTCACTTCATGAACGGGTTTAGGGTTTAGAGACATGTGGTAGGATGGACATTGAACGAATCAGGGCGGGTAAATTTGTTAGGTTCTCATTGAGGTGTTTGTTTTTGCATTTGCCGGCGTTGGGATTGGGAGAGGGGGCGCTCTTAATGACGGGATATGATGAATTTATCCTAGAGTGTTGTTATTCTTTCCCCAAGATTTTAGAAGGGGAAAGGGATCGGTCGATTATGACTAAGGTACTTGTGTCCGGGGGGATGCGGGATACCCAGAGACAAAAAACCGTTTTTGGTAAAATTAATTACATTCTGAAAATGTTTGCTTGTGTTCTGTATCGTGTGGCGAGTGCGCGTGCGAGTGCGAGTGCGTTGCTAGGTAATATGTAAATGTCCCGTCGTCTTGTCTTGGTTGATGGCTCTTGAAAAGGAAATGTTGAAATGACGCTAATCACGTGCATGATTTTCGACTAGATAAAAGACTTGAATTTACTTACCACTTTGGCAATAATGAACGGCTCTTGGTCAACCAACCACTTTCTGTGGTAAAAGTTACATTGTGCCGTAGCTTTCGCACGACTCTTTTTCCAGTTGACGGATGGCCCTGTTATGACGGCGCTTAAGCCATGTCTCATGACGAGGTAAGTCCACAGTGCCGCCCCTCCATGAAAAATCCCCCATCTGCCCCCGCAATCATTGATCAAGCTTCGTCAAAAAAACGAAAGTTGAGAATATGATGAAAAACAAAAAAAATTGATGGACCATAAGAGCGCAGACAAACCTCTCCCTATGAGAAGCTCTTCTATGAGAAGAGAATACCGAGTGTGTTTTTTCTAGAAAGAGATGTGATCACTTTCTAATACAAACAATAGGTCGTGCCTCCTGGCCAACTCCGCCGTGAGTACGTGCTCAACCCGATCACAGCACTGGCATTCTTGACATTCAGGGGTTCATCATCATCATCATCATCGTCGTCGTCGTCATTACCACAACAATACCTCCTCACAGCCGAGGACACAGACATCAAGATCTACGATAGCGCGACCTCGCGCCAGATCGGTGTCATCCCTGTCTTCCGTGCACAGCCCATCCACGGGATTTACGTGAGTGATGGTGCGGGCGCACCACAGGTCCTTGTATGGGGTGGCTGTGCCGTCCAGGTACTCCCCGGCAGCATCTTCGAGGCATTGATCCATGGCGGTGGCATTGCCACTCGTGCTGAGGATGTCCCTGTCCCGGGGACTATAGCGCCCGATTGGATATTCGACGGTCGGATATCACCCTTTGACGACCATCGCATTGTTCTTCTCACGGCGCATAACGAGGTCATCCAGGGCCATGTGGGTGCCGATACGAAAACAATTACTCTGGGCCGAGTACAATCCCCCTCGCGACCGATATTATATTCAGGGAACCTGTCTTGGATCGAGCCGGATTGCGTGCTGGTAGCTGCCGGCACGGTATTCGGCGAGATCGTAGTCTGGAAATGTCATCTACAATCCGGTCTCAATGGCACCGATACGAAAGACACTTGCCAGGTATTATACGTATTCTCGGGCCACCAAGGTTCTATTTTCGGTGTGCATATCTCCCCCGAGTTCCAAACGAGTACGGGGGACGTGATCCGGCTTCTCGCGAGCTGCAGCGATGACAGAACGATCAGAATTTGGGACATCACGGAGAACCGAGACCAGGTGTTATCGAATGGGGATAAGGGGTATGAAGCCCAGATTTCCGATGCCAGACAGACTGGATTCGGAGATTCCATCACCGGCTCGATTGGATCGACGAATGTCAGCCAGTCGAGATGTATCGCTACGGCCATGGGTCATGTATCTAGGATCTGGCAAGTGCGGATTCAAACGCAGACCCTGCTTTCGAGAGATTTGATTGAAGTGTATTCATTCGGCGAAGACGCGACCGTGCAGAGATGGCATCTTGAGCTTGGTGGCCCGTCGAAGACCACTTCAAAAATCGGAGGCTCTGAGATGCGCCCTCCGGTCAGATTAACGCATAGCGAAACCTTTTCAAACCACAGCGGGAAACATATCTGGTCACATGCTATACTGTCTAGTGCGGATGGTCTCTTGATAGCCAGCGGTGGCGGAGATGGCAAAATAGCTCTTATGAGCAATGACCTCGTTCGTGCTTTAACGACGCCAGATGACAATATAGCATTCAACGGGCGTTATCCGCGATTCGTCCAGGAAATCGATGTCTCTCCTCAGTACCTCATCGAAAAATGCCAACATCAAGCCCTTAACACCGTCCCTCGCACCTCGACCTTCAGGCATGGAAACGGAAAAGAAATGTTCCAAAGTTTCGCATTCATCTCGCATGACACGCTTCTCATCACAACAAGATCAGGCCGTTTATTCCTCGGCAGCTTTGGTAATGAGACGGAATGGGAAGAACTAGCGATATCTGATACTACCCGGACGACTATACAGTCATATACCATCCTCAGATGCTCGAGAAAGACTTCGACGGCATTCATCGGGGCTCCGAATGGTGAGCTTTTCTGCTACCATAGGGCTAGCGGTGACTCGCTTAGGTCAATACATAAAGCCGAGCGAAAGATTACGGAGATTATCTGTCTTTCTGATACCTGGGGTATCTCCTCCCCAAGGGGCCATGATCTCGATGGAGAAGTCGAGATCCTGGTGACGGTGTTCGGGAGTAGGAAAGCAGAGATCCTCCGTATAAGCCGGGATCACTCTGTCACGCAACGAACAGAGGTGACGGTTCCTGGGGAATTCATAGTCACTTCCGCCGCGTGGTGCCATAACCATCTCATCCTCGGCTCTAGGAACGGGAACATCACCATCTTCGACTTGGCCGGTGCTAAGGGGAGTGACTCCCCTCTCTTAACCATGGAAGTAAACGTCGGGGACAAAGTCACCTCTATCCTCCCTCTTCCGCAAACCTCTGAGACTTCACCTCCTTACTTCCTCACGACCGCCCGCGATGGGAAATACAGAATCTACGAAATCGTCTCTAACCCGACGACAACAAGTGACATCCACATCCGCCTTCTTCACGAAACAAAACCGCCATTTGGACCGCTAATCGAGGGATCATGGCTCTTCGACCACAAGCCAGACTCCGACTCAGACGGAAGGCAAAATAAAAAGCAAGACCTAATGCTCTGCGGTTTCCGCGGAAAAGACTTCATAGTCTGGAACGCGACCCACCAAATCGAAGTAGCCACGTTCGACTGCGGCGGCGGGCACCGCGTCTTCGACCACGCGCAAATCAGAAACGAATCCGAGGGGTTCCGATTCGCGTGTACGAAAGCCTCGCAGATGAAGATCTTTTCGCAAAGTCGGGCGCCGCATTTACCGTTGAAATCCGGAGGCCACGGTCGGGAGATTAAAGCTGTGTCCGCTTCGGGACGGTATGTGGCTACCGGTGCGGAGGATACTATGATTCAGATCTGGGAGCTTTGCGATGGGAGAAGTACTGCCGGTAGAAGAGAAGGGTCGCGATTACGATATATCCTGGCGCTCGAGAAACACAATACGGGTATTCAGACGTTAAAGTGGTTTGGGGATCAATACCTCTTCAGCAGTGGCGGCAACGAAGAGTTCTTCGCCTGGCGGATCACGGGCCTGGAGAGCGACATCTGTCCGCTTGGTGTCGTCTGCGAAGCCGTATTCCCCGATCGATCGGAAGTGGGCGATTTACGGATTACAGATTTCGACGTGCATTGTTTGCCAACACAACACAACGCCGAGGAAGCAGATGGGCGCACGGGACCGACGTTCTGCATCTCCATGGCCCTCTCGAATTCTACAGTGCAGAGCTACCTCTACTCGGCACAGAGGGGATTCGAATTGCTCGGTCGACGGACATATACCGGTGCATGCCTCACACAGCTCAGACATCTGGCCGTCTCGGGTAAATTCTATCCACAGGTCCTGACGGCCGCTACGGATGGTCACATAGCCATATTCTCCGATGTGCGGTCTCGCGAAGAAGATGCGAAGGGCATCATCGCCACGAAACTCCACCAGAGCACGATTAAATCCCTGGACATGCATAGCATCACCACTGAAGCCGGTACTTCGTATCTCGTCGTCACGGGCGGAGATGATAATGCGATCGGCGTGCTACATTTCTACTCTCCATCTTCCGAGCCCAGCATTGCCGAGCAAGACCGAGAACACCACACCTACGAGATCCGAAATAAGTCCGTCGTCCGCTCCGCTCACGCAGCTGCAGTGACAGGGTTAGGGATAGTAAGACTTGAGAACGAAGGCCGTGATGCAGTGATCGTCACAGCGAGTAACGACCAGCGCGTGAAGACGTGGCGGCTGGTTGGGTGGCAGAGTTCTTCGTTGAAGGTGCAGTTGGTGGATGATCGGTATAGCGGTGTTGCGGATGCGGGGGATTTAGAAGTTGTGGGGGATAAAGATGGGGAGAGGAAGGTTTTGGTGGGAGGTGTTGGGGCTGAGGTTTGGAGGGTTGCTTAACGAAAAAAAAGGTTGCTTAACTAGAAAGATTGGTGAGAATAGATGGGTAGGTAGAAGCTGAGTTAGACTTTTAGAGGAATGGGGAAAGAAAAAGAAAGCATTGTTTGCCTCGATAGAGATAGGTATCTAGGTAGTGATTGATGAAGTATAACATTGATTGAAGTTGTTGGAGTCAATAAAACAAGCATCGTGCGAATGATGTTACCGGGGCATTCAATGTCTCCTATCATATCACTGATTTGCCGGCAACCCTAAAAACAGTGTCGGAACAATCAAGTGCTCGATACGGGATGCAGCTTCCATCAGCAGTTAATGAAATGATCATGTTTTCGTGGCCTAGTGGTTAGGGCGTCTGTCTTACAGAAAGGGCTTCTGGCCCTGAAGATCACAGAAGATCCCCGGTTCAATCCCGGGCGGAAACATTTCTTTTGCCGATTTTTCTGGGGCGAAAATCTCTTTTCTTTTTGCGGTTCGGCTTCCGGGCGGTTAACTACCTATCTAACCTTACTTAGGTAGGTATCTACTTAGATCGATACGTCCGTATTGGTTCCCAGTTTGCTCGGCCCATGCTAGCGAAGGTAGTGTGTGTGCGGTGCAATTGACCGTCCAGGTAGGTGGATAATCTGGATACCCGCCAAAAAACGCTACCAAAACAGCTTCGTTGAAGAGAGAGAGAGCTCTACCTATCTGATCCCCTTCAACGTCTCTCAACTTCAATCACACCCACAACATGAACAACGCACCAGCTCGCGCTTTGTTGCGCCGGGCAATTGCCCAGCCTAGGCCAGGCAGAGCTTACGCGTGCTCAATTGGCCCTTTGAACACCTTCATCAACGCCCACGGCGTCAGCTACAATGTAGCACGTGCACGAACCCTCATCACCGTCGCAACAACAGCCCAGCCACGATCCGCCCTCTCCCCAGATCTCCCCCGTAGTCTACGAGCCTTCCACAGTACCCCCATCCCGCACAAAGTCAAGAAAAAGGGTTCTGAAGCCTCTTCCAAATCCTCTGGGTCGTCGTCGTCCTCCTCCTCCTCCTCGGGCACTTCAAGCTCAGGGTCCGCGCAAGAATCCTCCGAGGCCGACGAATCCGGCTCCAAGCACCCCAAGCCCTCCCCCGAAGAACCCCTCAACTTCGCCGACGTGCAGTCCCGCCTGGCAAAACACGCCGAGCACTTCCGCTCCGCGCTGAAAAAGATGCACACGGCCGGCCGCTTCGACCCCGAAGTCGTCGGCGGGATCAAGGTGACCGTCGACAAGAAGTCCAACACCGTCTACCCGCTCCGCGAACTAGCGCAGGTCGTCCCGCGCGGCGGACGCACCGTTTCCCTCCTCGTCCACGACGAGGAGTACGTCAAGCCCATCATGTCCGCCGTGCAGTCCAGTCCCGACTTCAACCAGCAGCCGCAGCGCGACGCGGACAACGAGCTGGAGCTCGTCCTCAAGGTCGAGGCCGAGAAGCCTGAGGACGTCGTCAGGCGCGTCAAGGCCGTGGCGCACGAGTGGCGCGAGCGCGTGCAGGGCGTGCGGCAGAAGCGGGATAAGCTGCATGAGACGTGGAAGAAGGGCGGGCTCGTCGGGCCGGATTTGAAGAGGACGGCGGATAAGGAATTGCAGAAGGTCATTAAGGAGGCTGCCGATGAGGTTAATACGGCCGAGAAGGCGGCTCTTAAGGTGGTCCAGCCGTAGGTATGATGGATGTGAGTATGTGCTTCTTGGAAGAGAAGCCTTACACACAGTCTGTCTATCTAGCTAGCTAGCTAGCTGTCAATTGCCTATCTAGAGAGCGAGCGGAGCGGAGCGAAGCAGCGGTTCGGTTCGGTTCGGTATATATGTATCTTGCGTAAGAGCGGATAGAAAGTACGACGAACTAGAGACGAGACGTAAAGCTGGTAGGATAGAAAACAAAAAACGAATAAAAAACAACAGATTCAAAATATACAATGTGTAGTTTTATTTCGAGTTTTATTTTTTTTTACTCATTTACAAACCATGTCTTTTTTTTATGGTACAAGTAAGGCTTCATAGAGTCAGAGTCAGAAACCAGGATATTTTATCCCCGTTTTCTCCGACCGAAAGATGTCCAAAAGTATTTATCCCGTATTTTGCTGAGGTTTTTTGAAAAAAAAAACCTTCCTTCCCTTCCTAACCGACCCAGTGACCCAGTATGTCTCTCTAAAAGCTGGCCCTGGCATGGCCGCGGCGATTTTGAGTACTCTTTGGCTGTCTGATATCACGAGGCAACAGGCTCTTAACCTTGTTTTCAATGCGCCGTGCGGCATCCGCATTCCACGAGCTGTTCTTGGCGACATAGTTCCGCACCGAGCCGAGCGGAGTACCGTAGTCGGAGAATATCGGCCCATTGTACATGCCGAGGAGGGTGTCCTGGAGGATGGCGTCCTTCGTCTCCTGGGGCGCCGGCGGGAACGCCTCGAGGCCCAGCCTCTCGGCCGACCACTTCTTCATCTCCTCGGTCGGGAAGAACACGCCGTTGCCGTGGTTGTATTGCTGTTTCATGTCCTTCATCCAGGGGACGTTCGTGGGGTGATAGGGCTCTGCGCCGCCGAGGATGCGCGCCTGCCGCACTACGGTGGACTCCTTGGCGAACGTAGACTCGGACGTCGCCACCGCGGGGCCGTAGCCCACGAGATCCTTCTTCGTGATCGTAGGGTCAAACACCCGCTCGTCGCCGAGCTCCTTTAACTCTCGCATGGCTTTGATCGCGGGCGAGTAGTCCTCAGCCGCATCCTTGACTTCTCCGGCCGCGTCCTTGTCGTTACTTTTTCGTTCCCTCTGTCGGCGCCCAGTCTGAGGACGCGCGGGACCCATGGGACGGGCTAACTTGCCTCCTCCGCCGGCCCTCAGGGGGGGCCTACTCGGTGCTCGGATCACGGCCTGTCCTCCGCGGCCCCTGAAGCCACCACGGATGATGAGCGGGACACGTTTCGCTCCACTTGCCGTCGGACCGCTCGGTATGATGGAATTATCTTCGTCATCTATGTTTTTCGGGGGTCGACTAGGGCGCGTGTTTGAGCCATCTTCGTCTCTGAACTCGCTTATGATGTTTCGGAATAGGTTGCTTCCACCTCTGCTTGTGCTGCCTCCACCTCTGCTTATGTTGCCTCCGCCTCTGATTATGTTGCCTCCACCTCTGATTATGTTGCCTCCACCTCTGATTATGTTGCCTCCGCCTCTGATTATGTTGCCTCCACCTCTAATTATGCCGCCTTCTCTGGCTGCGCCTCCTTGGTCGACTGCTACGTACTTGATTTTGGGCCCGCCAGCGGCGGCTGCGTGGCGCAAATCAATGACCTCGGGGTTGGAGCTGGACGATGGCTGTTGCCGTTGTTGTGGCTGTGACTGGAACCGTGATCGCTGACCACCCAGGTTCAAGAGGTCAGAAGCAGCTTCCTGAGCGCGCTGTCGCCCTGACCGTTGCGAATCATCGCTGCCACGCCTACCATCAAAGCTATAGGTGGCATTGTCGCCGTAACCACTACCGGGGCGGTCCGCGGCGAGTTGTTGGGCGGTAGAGAAGGCTCGGAGAGAAGCTGCGATACCCTCTGCGACGCGGGCGAGATCTGGCCTCGTCCGGCCGGCGGCCGTATTGAGGGATTGACGTATCATGGATATTTTGTAGGTTCGGCGGATTATATAGTATAATCGGAGAGAGTCGTTGGGGAGGGACCCTGGTTTCCGTTTTCGAAATTTTGGAGATGATCAAGTAACTTCGTACCCCCGACGAAGTCGCAGGCGAGATTTGGGGGGGAGGAGGCCAAACTCCCGCTAAAAATCCGGGTGGGGGCTTGCTGGAGTGGCAAAAGTATCGAGAGATGCCAAGTTCATTGGTTGGTCGCAGCACAGTGCTTACTAGCAGCTTGACACTAGAAATATGCCATGTGCTAGTACTCAATTGATACTGTGCCATGGGCCAACCAAAAGTCTTGGCGTCTCGATACTTTTGTCTGCCAATCTTCCTGCTTCTGACTATAAGTTACCGGTACACTAGATACAATTTGCTCATACAATATCGATGATACCACGCTGATAAAGTCAAGAGATGGCTCCAATCTTCCATTCATTCATGTCATGTCATGTCATATCATGTCCATTTCATCTCCTTTACTTAGCTAACCCTGCAACGGCTTGCCCATGCCACCGAACGTGATCGACTTGATTTGTTGGTACTCCTCAATGCCATACTTGGACCCTTCTCTGCCAAACCCAGACTCCTTGACACCACCAAATGGCGAGCTTACATCGGATATCAGACCAGTATTGACACCCACCATGCCGACTTCCAGAGATTCAGCCACGCGGTATATCCTCTCCAAATTCCTCGAGAAGAAGTATCCAGCCAATCCAACGTCAGCGGCGTTCGCCAGGTCAACAACCTCCTGCTCCGTCTCGAACGGGAATAAGCCAGCAACAGGCCCGAACGTCTCCTCACTCGCTATGGCCATCTCTTTCGTCATGCCGGAAATCACGGTAGGTTGGTAGAAATTGGATCCCAGATCCGGAATCTTCTGGCCTCCGACAACGACTTTGGCACCTTTCTTCTCGGCGTCTCGTACGTGGGAATCGACCTTGGAAACAGCCCGGTCGTGAATGAGGGGTCCGTGAGTAATTCCCTCGTCAAAGCCGTGGCCGACCTTGAAGCCCTTGACCTTCTCCGCGAACTTGGCGACGAATTGGTCGTAGATGCCCCTTTGGACGTAGATACGGTTAGCACAGACACATGTCTGGCCCGAAGAGCGGAACTTGGAGGTTATGGCGCCAGCTACCGCGGCATCAACATCAGCGTCGTCGAATACGATGAAGGGTGCGTTCCCGCCTAGTTCCAGAGACATGACTTTCAGCGTCGAGGAAGCCTGTTTCATGAGCAGTTTCCCAACGCCCGTAGATCCTGTAAAGGAAATCTTTTTAATCGTAGGATGTGTTGTAAGCGTCTCGCCGACTTGGGGTGTGTTCTTGAGCGCCGTCACGATGTTCACGACACCCTTGGGTATGCCAGCCCGGTGCGCGAGTTCAGCCAGTGCAAGCGAGGTGAACGGCGTCTCGCCAGGTGCTTTACAGACAGTAGTGCAGCCAGCAGCGAGCGCAGGACCAATCTTACGCGTGATCATCGCCGCAGGGAAATTCCACGGCGTAATGAGCCCACAGACACCTACAGGCTGCCGCAGCGTCATGACCCGATTTGCCGCGTTCGTCGGTTGTATAGTATCGCCGTAAATCCGCGGAGCCTCCTCGCTGAACCACTCAAAGAACTGCGCAGCATAGTTGACCTCACCCTTGGCATCCGCCACCGGCTTGCCGTTCTCCAGCGTGATCAACGTAGCTAGGTCCTGGGCATTCTCCATCATGAGATCATACCATTTCCGCAGCATGCGAGCTCGTTCGCGACCGGTCCTTGTGCGGAAG